GAGCAGGGAGCCCAGTGCGGGGCTCGATCCCAGGACCCTGGGATCATGACCTGAGCCAAAGGCAGACACTTAACGACTGAGCCACCCAGGCGCCCCTCAATAAATATTTCTTGAAGGAACATATCACAGTAGCAATGATCAATTGTGCCTGGCACTGTACTAAATATTTCTCTATTGAAGCAAAATATATATAACATGAAGTTTACCATTAAACCATATTTAAGTGTACAATTTAGTGGCATTAAGTATTTGCACAATGTTGTGTAACTATCACAACTATGTATCACAGCTATTTCCAAAACTTTTTCATCACTCGAAACAAATTCAGTCATCATTAAGCAATAATTCCCCCCCACTCTCCTCTCCTCCTTGGTAGCCTCTACTCTTTATTTGTCTAATCTAGATACCTCATATATGTGCAATCATACAATATTTGTCCTTTTGTGTCTGGTTTATTTCACTTAGAATATTTTCAAGGTTTATCCATGTTGTAGCATGTATCAGAAGCCCATTCCTTTTATTGGCTGAATAATCCATTGTACATATGTACCACATTTTGTTTATCCATTCTTTTTTTTAAAGATTTTATTTTATTTTTTTAGAGATTTTATTTATTTGAGAGAGAGAGAGCAAGAGAGAAAGCGCATGCATGAGCAGGGGTGGGGGAGGAGAGGAGCAGGAGAGGGAGAAGCAGGCTCCTCGCTGAGCAGGGAGCTGGATCCCTGGACTCCGAAGGCAGATGCTTAACCAACTGAGCCACCCAGGTGCCCTGTTTATCCATTCATCTGTCAGTGGACACTTGGGTTGCTTCTACTTTTTAGTTATTTTGAATAATGGGCGTGAACATGGGTGTTCAAAGATCTCTTTGACACCCTGCTTTCAGTTCTTTTGGGTGTTTACCCAGAAGGAAAATTGCTGGATCCTATGCTAATTCTATTTTTAATTTTTTGAGAAACCACCATACTGTGTTCCATGCAGCTGCACCATTTTACATGTCCACTACCAGGGCACAGGGTTCCAATGTCTTTTTTCTCCCCCCTCAATTTCTTTATATCCTCACCAACACTTGTTATTTTCTGGGGGGCAGGGGGTGTTTGTTTGTTTTTAGTAGGCTCCACACCCAGCGTGGAGCTTGAACTCAGGACTCTGAGACCAAGAGTCAGACGCTTAACTGACTGAGCCACCCAGGTGCCCCTGTTTTTGTTTTGTTTTGTTTTTAATTTTTTTGATAGTAGTCATTCCTAATGGGTGTGAGGTGATATCTCCTTGTACAGTTTTTTTTTCCTTGTGGGTTTTGATTTGCTTTTCTATGATGACTAATGATGTTGAGCATCTTTTCATGTGTTTATTGGCCATTTGTATATCTTTGCAGAAATGTGTATTCAAGTCCTTCACCCATTTTTGAATTGGGTTGGTTTTCGTAAGTTGTTGAATTATAGGAGTTCTTTATACACTCTGGGATATTAGTCACTTACCAGATATATGACTCACAAATATTTTCTCCTGTGGATTGTCTCTTCACTCTCTTGATAGTGTCTTTTGTTGCACAAAAGTTTTTAATTTTGATGAAGTCCAATTTATCTGTTTTTTGTTATTGTTAAATGTGTTTTTGGTACCATAGCCAAGAAATCACTGCCAAATTTGATGTCATGAAGATTTTCCCATGTTTTCTTCTACAAATTTTATAGTTTTTATCTTTAAGTTTAGGCCTTTGATCCCTTTTGTGTTAATTTTTGTATATGATGTGCAGAAGGGGTCCAACTTTATGCATGTGGATACCCAGTTTTTTCTGCACCATTTGTTGAACAGACTGTCCTTTCCCTATTGGATAGTCTTGGCACCTTCGTCAAAAATCAACTGGCCATATATATGAGGTTTATTTCTGTGCTCTCTATCCTGTTTTGTTGGTCTACATGGCTGTCCTTTATGCGGGTACCACAGTAACTGTGTTTTATGCATTGCATTTAATCGTCACAATAGTCTCTTGAAGTAGAGATTCTTACTTTATAACTGAGGGAACAACCTCAGAGAAGTTAATTACCTAAAGGAATCATAGCTAGTAACTGGGAGACTAAGGATTTAAACCCTATCCAATTCCAAGCATTAGAAATAAAATCAATTCCTAGAAAAACATTTCCTTCTGGGGAATTGAACCCAGACAGTTAAAAGCACTCAAACAGAATAAACTTACAACTCTGCAGAGATGGAATCATTAACCCATTCAGCAGACTTTGAGTGAATATTCTGTGAGACGTTGGTGTTAGATGCTATAGATACAATGGGGAAGCTGAGGCATGAATAACTTGAGTGACATGTTGGAGCTCCCTCAGTGTGTTACTCAAAACCAAGGTTTATTCCATTATGTCATGCTGCACCATCAGAGAAGGTGGGTCTTGGTATGTATTTCTCATACTTCTTTAAAACAAATACTTACCTTCCCTGGGAAATTCTAATAACCTCTCTAGAGAATAACTGCATTTTGTGATGAGCCTATCATCTAAGGAGACATCTTGGAATTTTAGTTTCTGTAGTTTGTAATCTGATAGAATAGTTTATTTCCCATATATGAAACTGTACCATAATATTGGATGTATTTTTTCCAAACTATACTTTGCTCACATACGTGCTTTTCAGAAGCAGTGGTTTAAAGGGTCAGTAAGGTTTAGAGCCTCATTTTGAAGGGGAAAATACAGGCTTACTGATAGAATGAGAAAACCAGTTCTGGCAGGTCTTACTCATTTATCATTTGTTGAGCCTTTAACTTTATTTGATACTATCCTAGGTCCTGGAGATACAAAGACAATGTGACACAAAATGCCTTAAGGCATTTACATTCCTTAGGTGAAAAACACTTTATAGCAGGTTCTGAGGCCTGCAAGATCTGCTGTTGAAATTCATTCTTTAGTTCAACAAATATTTAATTATACCAGGTGCTGCTGTAGGCATTTAGGATATGTCAATGACAATGATTCCTCTCTTTAAGGAGTTTATATTCTACCAGAGGGAGTGAAATGATAAGCAATAAACATAAACTAGTACTAGTATGGTAGGTGATGATAAGTACTATCGAAAAAGAAAAAAAGAAAATCGGGACGCCAGAGTGCCCGACAGCCGTCAGAATTGAATAGGGTGATCAGGGAAGGCTTCACTGAGGTCATATTTGAATAAAAACCTTTAGGGGTTGGAGGAAGCAAATCCTATATCTGGATTAAGAGCAATCCAGGCAGAAAGCATCAAGTCCAGAGGCCTTGAGGTGAAATTATCCTTGGCATGTTCAAGGAACAGAAGGGATTAGGATTTTGGAGCTGAATGAAAGAGTGGTAGTAGATGAGATCACAGAGATAATGGAGTGGGGCATTTTGTAGGGCATTTTACTCAGTGATATGGAATGCCAAGGGATGGTTTTAAGCAGGGGGATAATAATGACCTTTCTGATGTGTTTACATGATCACTGTAGTACTTGCCCTTACTTTGCTTATTAGCTTAGGTGATGAGACTAAAGGGGGGGGGGGGCAGAGTGGAAGCAAGAGAGAAAGCAGGAGGCTACTAAAATAATCCAAGCATTAAAATGAGTAGTGGAGGTGGTAAGAAGCAAATGGGTCTGTATATATTTGAAAGTAGGGCCAATGGAACAGAGGAGTCCAGGAGGGTTCCAAGATTATTGGCTTGCATAACTCTTAAGAATACGGTTGCCATTAATTGAGGATGAAGACTAGGAGCTATTCTTTTGGTGGGGGGAGTGGGGGGTGGAATCAGGAGCTTAGTTTTCATCATGTAAATTTGAAATGTCTGTTACACATTTATGTAGGCAATTGTCTATTATATATAACGTAGCTTTATTGAACTCTGAGGAGGCACTGTTTTATTTTTTTATTTTTAAAGATTTTATTTATTTATTTGAGAGAGAGAGAATGAGAGACAGAGAGCATGAGAGGGAGGAGGGTCAGAGGGAGAAGCAGACTCCCTGTCGAGCAGGGAGCCCGATGCGGGACTCGATCCTGGGACTCCAGGATCATGACCTGAGCCGAAGGCAGACGCTTAACCGACTGAGCCACCCAGGCGCCCAGGAGGCACTGTTTTAAATGCATTGCCCTCAGTCATTCTTGTGGTCCTCAGAGCAGCCCAATGAAGTGGATTTTTTACAGGTGAGTAAACAGGGCTTAAGTAACTTGCCTAATGTCACAGCTAATGAGAGAGAGCTAGAATACAAATCTAGGCAGTCTGACTTTAAAGCCCATGGTCTTAATCATTAAGCAATATCGATTCTCAGAGGATGCCCGGCACATAGTAGTAGGCAGTCAACAAGTATTACGTCAGTGAATGAATGAAACAATAGAAGGCACAGATGGGGGGCTGCTATCTTCAGAGTCCTCCTATGTTCGTCATTTTTCTTGGTGGTCTCTGACACCACGCTTAAGTAAGGGAGAAAGATTAAAGAGGGGTGGCTAATGCTAGTGACAACGACTCTCAGATGGTTTAGTTTCTACCAGAAAGGCCCCGTTTAACCCGAACGCAGAAGCTCGGCTTTTAGCGCATTTATTCATACTAGGAGTACTGCGAGCAGCCCAATTTCTGCTTCAGGCAACATTAACTTCGCAGTAATCTAGTTACCAGATTTCGCTGGAGAAACCTAAAGAGGTAGGAACTTTATGCGCAAACTTTACAGCTCCCGCACGCATGCGCTCCGCCGAGGGGAAAGTGGTTACTACGGCTGCGCGAATCGGTGGCCCGGCCCTTCCCCGTCACATGTCGGGGGACCGCGGCGTGGCGGCGGCTGTGGCGGTAGCGACGGCAGGCCGTAGGGCGGTCGGAGGGTTTCCGGTTCCGGTGTAACGTTCGGGCTCCGTCTCAGGGGCTGAAGTTTGTGAGGTGAGTAGTGGCCCCGGGCCCTGGGAGGGTATCTTTCTGTCTGAGCGGCGAGGGCCAGGGCGCACCCCAAGGGGAGGACCGAGGCGGGAACGTTCAGTGGGAAGGAAGCCGAAAGAAGTACAAGGTTCTGAGGGAGAATGGGTTGGAGTGAGATTGTGGGGAGGAAAAGGGCGGGGGCGGGAAGGGGACGAGGTGGGGAGACCAGCTCTAAGATGAGTTTGGGGAGAACAAGGTGGGGTAGGGAGCCGGTCGGAGATAGGGAGAGAGCAAACAAGTATGGAGGTTGCAGGAGGGAAACTCAGGTTATAGCGAAGAAGAGCACGGAGTAAGGAAATTCTTCACAAGATTGGATTCTGCTACCTGCTCATTCAGACATCCTTCTGCCTTCCTCTTCTTCCACCCCCACCCCGCCGCGCCCCAGGCAGTTACTGTTGAACATTTGATTAGTGACAAAGCTGGTTACTGTTTGAAACTTTTATTTTTGCCCACCGGCTGTTTAGTTTCCTAGAGGATTAGGTAGAAGTTGAATACATTTGTTAGCATGGTACTTGGGCACACATTTCATCTGATAGAGTCGTACCTCATTTGTTGCTTTGGATTTTCAAATTGTTTACACTTTCTAGCCCATGATTCAATTCTAGTGGAATATAAGATCCATTAAGGTGAGGATTGTCTGTTATGTTCATTGTTGTATGTATCCTCAGCACACAGTACACTACTTGAGACCTAGTAATTATGCAGTAAGTATTTATTGAATGATTAAAGATGATTTAGATTTGGGAATTGGCCTCATTTTGTAAAATGAGTAAACTGAGGCACAGAGGAATTACTTGCCCCAAAGCTGGCACATAGAGTTCAGTGTTCCAGATGTTCAGCGTGAACTGTTTCTTCACTCTCTTTGGTCTGAGTATGCTTTTTTTGAGTAATGCACATTTAATATGTAGAGATTTATAGGCTATACTGCTGTCTCATGAGAGGTGAATAGAGCTGCCACAGAATTATTCATATAACATGTCCCTGAGTCACAAAATCTTTCACTCCTGTTTTCATGACTTTAATCTACTAGCTTCCTATGGTTATACCAAAATTAAATATACTGTTTAGCAACAGGTCTTATAGAAGATAAACCTGCCAAGAAAGTAGAAATTAATCAGACTGTCTTTTAGGAGAAAAGATGTCTTAAAACATCTTGAAAGATTGACTCTCAGAGACCCTGATTTGTAGCACTGCTGGGAGGAAGTTTGCTTGGAAATTGAGGTCAGTGCTGTTTATTGACTTTAGGCACTTACAGAGAAAATCAGAGAAGTAAAATTTTCTCTATGCTCATGAGCTTTGCTATTTAAGTAGGAGAGCAGAATGTAAACATGAATAATGTTGAAGAATTACACTAACTTGCATTAAATAACAAAGATTTGTTGTAGAAGGTCCTTTATGATAGTGAAGGGAGAGAGGGAAAGTACATCCAAAATGAGGGTATTCTTTTCTGAGCTAAGGGATTAATCTTATGAAGTCTATTGACAGATCCTGTAGAACATGAGAGAAAATGATCTGGGTCCAGAATTTCCACAGGGATGAATATGACTATAGAGAAATGTGACAACATTCTTAAGGATTAGGAGCTAGCTTGTTTGCTTGCTTGCTTGCTTATTTATTTATTTATTTAAAGTAGGCTCCACACTCAATGTGGGGCTTGAACTCACAACCCTGAGATTGAGAGTTGCATGCTCTACCAACTGAGCCAGCCAGGCACCCCAGGATTAAGAGCTTTTTTTTTTTTTCTTAGCCGGGGGAAGGCCAGTGGGAAAGGGAGAAAGAATCTCGCAGGCTCCATACCCAGCGTGGAACCGGGTGTGGAGCTCATTCCCATAATCCCAAGATCATGACCTGAGCCAAAATCAAGAGCCAGATGCTTGACTGACTGAGCCACCCAGGCACCCTGGATTATGAGCTTTAATATAGGATGACTGACCTGGATAAGGCCACCTTTTTTTTTTTTTAATTCATCCCTTAAAAGAAGGGAAACCTACAGGTCAAGGCTGTGTTAAGGAATGCCTGCCTGGAAGCAGGAGGAATAGAAAAGCTGGTCTCTGGGTGGGCTTTTCAGTCTTGTTTTCAGGTTGTATGTTTGCCAGTCCTTGTTATGACAGGATCAAAAAAGAAGCTAGAACTCATTTCTCAGACTACATTATTCCCAGGGTTTCCTTGTTTATTCCACAGATTTCACTGATCCACTGATACTTACTGAGTTAGGATTACAAACAGAATGTGGTTCTATCTGCTTTGAAGTATGGGTTTTAGGGAAAGTATTTGGCTTGAAATGAAGTGCAGGCACTTGCTTGATTGAGAATAGGGGTGGAGATGGCATTCCTGATATACTAAACATTGCCTGGAATGGTCTTTTCCTACCCTCTAACAGAGCTTTTTCCTGGTTTCTTTTTAGGTGCAGTACTGAAACCCATTTGAGCTACCCTCCTTTTCCTGAAGAATGGCACTGTCTAAGAGGGAGCTGGATGAGCTGAAACCATGGATAGAGAAGACAGTGAAGAGGGTGCTGGGCTTTTCAGAGCCCACAGTGGTCACAGCAGCACTGAACTGTGTGGGGAAGGGCATGGACAAGAAGAAGGCAGCTGGTATGTCCTTTTATGAATCTTTGGACTTAACATATAGCATGATCCTAAACACTGCTTTGAATTTCCCCAAATTCTCTGTTAGGAGTATCTGAAAAAGATCAGGCCACATTTTATTTTCTCCTGCATTATAATAGAAATAGCCTAAGTGACTAATTTTGCTTTTTTTCTTATTTTTTATACTACTCGTGACATACTTTTTTTTTTTTTAAATGTAACCTCTACACCCAACGTGGGGCTTGAACTCATGACCCTGAGATAAAGATGCCTGCTCTACCAACTGAGCCAGCCAGGCACCCCATTTATGACCTATTTTGAATCTCCGACTGACTTCCTTTAACCAATGTATTGAATTAGCTAAGTTATATTTACTTAAGAAATATGCTAAAGTAGATAGGTATATTCAGATTCAGATTGACATCTAAATATATCAAATTCTCTGAAAAAAAAAACATGAAAAAAGTTGAGGAAGGTAGAATTTGTTTATGGTAGTCTCCTATAGCTTGCTGTTTGGGAAGAGTTAGGATAACTTTTTTTTTTTTTTTTTTAAGATTTTACTTACTTACGGGGCTCCCGGGTGGCTCAGATGGTTAAGCGTCTGCCTTCGGGCTCCCTGCTTGGCGGGGAGCCTGCTTCTCACTCTCCCTCTACTGTTCCCCCTGCTTGTGCTCTCTCACTCTGTCAAATAAATAAATAAAATCTTTTAAAAAAAAAAGATTTTACTTGAGAGTGTATGAGCGGGGGGAGGGGTAGAGGGAGAGGGAAAAGCAGGCTTCCACCTGAGCAGGGGGCCTCCTGACCCGGGACGCGATCCCAGGCGCCTGGGATCATGACCTGAGCCCAAGGCAGACGCTTAACCGACTGAGCCACCCAGGCGCCCTGTTCATCATAAACTTTGATACTCAACCTAAATAGGTTGCTCTGGCTATGCTACTTCCTACTGCAAAAAATTCTAACTGTGCTTTTACCTCAAAAGGTAAGGTCATTCAATGTAAAAGGATTTATGGAAATCCTACAAAGAACTTAGGACAACATTTCCCTCCCTCCTGGGGATAAAATTTCAGTGTTGGTGTCTGTTATATGCCTAGTATTGGACTAAGTACTCTTATTTTTCAACGCTACCACCCCTTTTTCTCCTGTCAGACCATCTGAAACCTTTTCTTGATGATTCTACTCTCCGATTTGTGGACAAACTGTTTGAGGCTGTGGAGGAAGGCCGAAGCTCTAGACATTCCAAGTCTAGCAGTGACAGGAGCAGAAAAAGAGAGCTGAAGGTAGGTTACAGTTAAGTATCTGATGAGCTTAGGAGTGTTTTGAATGGTAACAAAGTTGCTGAGCTTACGTGGCTCACACTTTGATATCCACTGTTAGAATACATAATATTCAAGAGAGGTACTTAGACATTAAAGGAGAGGAGGTGAACTTGTATTATCACCATCTTGTGGTGATGAACTACCTAAGTTCATGGGTTGAAATACTCCAAGGAAACAGTTGGTAGCTTTGTCCTTTTTCATGTACAGTTAGGAGTTTTTGGTTCTTATGTTTCCCTATGTCTCCTCCACCCTCCCCCTTGCTACTACCTATGAATTGATTGCTCTAAGATTTTATTCTTTGGATTACTTGATAACTAATAGATTGATTCAGAATGTGACTCCACTGCTGTAGACCTCATTGTTGCTCCTTTTAGAGGTTTCTCTGGAATGGACCTGTAGATGGGATACCTAACAGAAATTATTATTTACTCTATGTCCTGAGAGCCTACTGTTTGCTATATAGCAAATTGCTGGTCATCAGGCCCCATGAGTGGAGTACTTAAAAGGACCATCATTACTGTCTTACCTCCTTCACTTTTTATTCGGTAATTGCTGATTTGTCATGCCTTCTTTTAATATTAGCAGCTTCAAGTGGCTGATTTCTCTATCTCTTTTCTGTCTCTTCCATTGAAAAAGTCTTTTCTGTGACTCCCATCAAATCTTCCAAAGTGCATTTGATATCTTGGCTATCCTATTGCTTTTCCTGAGGCACAAAGAGTGAATAAGCAACGTCTGCTTGGTCCCAGGCCAGGCTATGGTACCAAGAGAAATAGAGAATTGTGTGCCTTTTGTGTTTAAGGCATTGTAAGGTGTTCAGAGGAATGAGAAATAGTCCTTGCCTTAAAGGAATTTGCAATTTAAGGGAGGGGAACAACAAAATACAGTCACAAATTATAAAATCTAAGTAACAGTTTCATATAAATTTTAGAGTTGACTGTAGAGTCAGACTGATGTTGAATTTGTTATGTTTGAGGGGGAATGCTTGATCCACAATATACACAGATCTGTGGAGTGAAGTTAGTGCTATAATAGGACACATGGCTGTGTAAGTGCTGAGGCATGCTGTGAATGAAGTGACTACATTGGGTGGGATTAATAAAAACGGTTTCTTGAAGGAGGTATCTAGATAGCCTTGGGATATGGGTCCCATTTTGGTCCATTCAAGTCCCCACCCCACACAATATATTATGGGAGAGTCCTTTTTCTTGAACTGTAGGAGTTCCAGGAAGCGCTCGCCCCTGGCCGAGGATATGTCCTTGCAAAACACGAGCCCTCCTAGTGAAGAGGGGATGTCACCCAAAGCCTACCACCGGTGTGTACATTTGCTTTTTCCCATTGTCCCTTCCAGTTGGCCACTCTTGGTCCTGTTAAATTCACCTTGCAAATTAGTCAACATATTTGAGTTCCCATTGTTTGATGAGAACAAGTGTTATTGGGGAATACTGAAGAAGAAAGAGAAAACCCCTGTCCTGGAAGAGCTTAGACTCTAATTGGGAGAAAGTACTAACATTGAAAGACTTAACACTTGGCAAGCAGAATATCAGCAATGTAATTTTATGTAGTATGAACCCAGGTCTTAAGTGCTAAGAGGATGTGAAACAACAGTTTGATCGGAGTGGGATGAGATTATTTATGAGGAAAACATCCTGGAGGAGGTGAGTTTCAGGCAGGATTTGGAATAGGGGTGTGGAAAAGTTGAGGGAAATCATTACAAATGTAGGAAGTAGCATTTATAAAGACCTTTAGATGGGAACCTTTGTAAGGACGTGGAGATGAAATTTGCTTGACTGGAGTAGGAGAATGATGAAGTTGGGTGAGATGGTCCATTTGGTGGAGGGTCTAGAGGACTCTGGGAAAAGCCACAAAATGCTGATAGGGACTAGGATGATTCTTCCCTTCTCCCATGGGCAGGGAGACAACTCTTCTTTCATCTTGGGTTTCCTTAGGAAGTGTTTGGTGATGACTCTGAGATCTCCAAGGAATCATCAGGAGTAAAGAAGCGACGGATACCCCGTTTTGAGGAGGTGGAAGAGGAGCCTGAAGTGATCCCTGGGCCTCCCTCAGAGAGTCCTGGTATGCTAACTAAGCTCCAGGTGAGTAATTAGGAACTGAAAGCAGTGACTTTATGAGTTGAAGAAGCAAGAGATGCATGGGTCCAGATTTGTTGTGACCTTAATTTGAATTAGTGGTTAGCATCGGGGAAAACTATTGAAATGAGCACCTGTTATGTGGTGAACAAGGTATATTACATACATCATTTGCCCAATTGTGTACCTCATTGGATCATTGAGAAAATTATTGAAATAATCAGAATTTGGCTTGATGGCAGAGGAAAATTTCCAAATACAATGCAGAGATGAGATGATATAATCCACTAAAAATAATTTCAGGTTGACTTTGTTGGGGTGTTGTGGGGCTTTTGTTTTTGTTTTTTCTTTAGATGTTATTTATTTAGAGAGAGAGCGCACACGCAAGCAGAGAAGGGCAGAGGGAGAGAATCCCAAGCAGACTCTGTGCTGAGCACAGAGCCCAGCACAGGGCTCGATCCAAGAGCCAAAACCAAGAGTCAGATGCTTGACCATCTGAGCCACCCAGGTGCCCCGACTTGTGTTGTTGTTTTTTTTAATAGGAATTATCTGGGGGCGCCTGGATGTCTCAGTCAGTTAAGCTTATGCTTTCAGCTCAGAACATGATCCCGGGGTACTGGGATCGAGCTCCGTGTCAGGCTCTCTGTTCAGCAGGGTGTCTGCTTCTCCCTCTCCCTCTTTTCCTCCCCCAACTCATGCTCTCTCTCTCGCTCACTCTTTCTCCCAAATAAAGTCCTTAAAAAAAATTTTTTTTGATACCATTATAAACAGTAAATATTTCTTATACCATTTAAAATTTCTTGGAAGGGAAATAGAATATATACATATATGTGTATGGATGGGTAGATGAATTTCTTTCTTTTCTTTTTTTTTTTTTTTTAAGGTAGGGAAGGGTAGAGGGAGCAAGAGAGAGAGAATCTTAAGCAGGCTCCACGCCCAGCACATAGCCTATCCTGGGGCTCAATCTCGTGACCCTGAGATCATGGCCTGAGCTGAAATCAAGAGTTGAACACTTAACTGATTGAGCCACCCAGGTGCCCCTGAATTTGCTTATTTGTACCTATATATGATATTTCTGCAAGGAAAAAAACTGATACTGGTGCTTTATAGAGAAGAGGGGTGGAAGAAATCATAATATACCCTTTTGTACTTTTTTTGCATTTTGAACTATGTAAATATATCATCTACTCAAAAAAAATGTTTAAAAAGTAAATTCTGAAGGGGCTCCTGGCGGGCTCAGTGAGAAAAGCCTGCAACTCTTGATCTTGGGGTCGTGAGTTTGAGCTCCATGTTGGGTGTAGAGATTACTTAAATAAATAAAACTTCAAAAGAAATTAAAAATAAATTTTATTTATTTATTTTTTTAAAGATTTTATTTATTTACTTATAGGACAGAGAGAGACACAGCAAGAGAGGGAACACAAGCAGGGGAAGAGGGAGAGGGAGAAGCAGGCTTCCCGCCGAGCAGGGAGCCCGACGTGGGGCTCGATCCCAGGACCCTGGGATCATGACCTGAGCCGAAGGCAGACACTTAACGACTGAGCCACCCAGGCGCCCCTAAAAATAAATTTTAAAAAATACCTTGAGGCACCTTGGGAGCAAGGTCTCTTTTGGAAAATTAAAGAAGGGTTATTTGACTGTATTCTCAAAGCTTATCATTTTCATATTCTTTAGGACAAAAGAACGGTTTTACAGAGGCTAGGAAGCAGGTCTTTGCTTTGTTGTCTCCAGTTACCCAAAGCAGGCATTCATAAAAAGTATGATAATTTGGGGCACCTGGCTGGCTCAGTTGGGAGAGCATGCGCTCTTGGTCGCAGGGTCCTGAGTTCAAATCCCATGTTGGGTATAGAAATTCCAAAAAATAAATACACTTTAAAAAAAAGTATGATAATTTGTGTGGATTCTGTTAGGAGTTTTGTTGAAATGCTCATAATAGTCTTGTAGTGTAGGTACTGTTTTTACCCTTTTTAGACACTTGGAGTTTTAGAGATTAAATGCCATGTCCAAGGTCGTACAAGCATTAAGTGTCAGAGTTAAAAGTCAAGCTTGGGTTTCTCTTAACCTGATTTTTTTTTTTAAAGATTTACGTATTTATTTTGAGAGAGGTAGGGGAGAAGTAGTGGGAGAGGGAGAATCCCAAGCAGACTCCATGCTGAGCATGGAGCCTTTCGCAGGGCTCCATCCCACAGAGATCATGACCTGAGCCAAAAACACAAGTCGGACACTTAACCTGAGTCTTAACCATCAAGTTATGTTACTACCTAACATGCTAATCCTTCAATAGGATGATGGGTTGAAAAGTTTCAGTGCTTAACTATATAGCTTATCTTTACTAAATTTTCTAGCCAGTCGTACAGGCCAGAATATGATGGGTTCATTCAAAAAATTTTAGTTCTCTAGACCTGAAAGCCTTTTGCATTTAGGAACCTATATAGGAGAAATAAAAAAGATGTTGAGGTGCCTGGGTGGCTCAGTTGGTTAACAGTCTGCCTTTGGGGGGGCGCCTGGGTGGCTCAGATGGTTAAGCGTCTGCCTTCGGCTCAGGTCATGATACCAGGGTCCTGGGATCGAGCCCCACGTCGGGCTCCCTGCTCAGCGGGGAGTCTGCTTCTCCCTCTCCCTCTGCCTCTCCCCCTGCTCATGCTCTCTCTCTCTCTGTATCTCTATGTCTCAAATGAATAAATAAAATCTTAAAAAAAAAAAAGAGTCTGCCTTTGGCTCAGGTCATGATCCTGGGGTCCTGGGATCGAGCCCCACATCGGGGGGCCTGAGCAGGGGGCCTGCTTCTCCTCCCTCTGCCGCTCCCCTTGCTTGTGCTCTCTCTGTCTCCCTCCACCAAATGAATAAATAAAATCTTGTAAAAAAAGAGAGAGAGATGTTAACAGTTTTTTAACTTCTCTCCCATCGAGAACAGATCAAACAGATGATGGAGGCAGCTACACGGCAAATCGAGGAGAGGAAAAAACAGCTGAGCTTCATTAGCCCCCCTACACCTCAGGTATTATGAAAAGAAGACTCTTTAGCAAAGAATTTCTTGCCGTCCACTCATTTGAGAGTCTGGAAGGTGACTGCATGTTCCACCCCACAATCTACCAGTGTGTGTGTGTGTGTTTGTGTATTTGTGTGTAACCTGTCTGCCTGTCTAATTCTTCTGATTCTGACTTCTTTTTCTCTGGCTCACAGCCAAAGACTCCTTCTTCCTCCCAACCAGAGCGACTTCCAATTGGCAACACTATCCAGCCCTCCCAGGCTGCCACTTTCATGAATGATGCCATTGAGAAGGCAAGGAAAGCAGCTGAACTACAAGCCCGCATCCAAGCCCAGCTGGCACTGAAGCCAGGGCTCATTGGCAATGCCAACATGGTGGGCCTGGCCAATCTCCATGCCATGGGCATTGCTCCCCCGTGAGTATCTATTTCATGGAACCTCTTGTTACTTCTGAACCTGGAGAAGCAATAATGAAGGTTAAAAAGAACAAACAAAAACCTGGAGCATTACTGATTCTCTTCTTCCAAAGAACCTACATCATTTCTTAGTTTTATATTTCTTACGTATGCTGAATAAATACCAGTTGAACTCTTTTAGCTTCCTTGTTGCAGAACTTATCTTCTTTTTACAATTGGTAGAACTGAGGTTAAGATTATTCATTTGTTGTTGGAGCTAGGAATAGAACCTGGTCTTCTGGTTCCTAACCCAGAGCCAAATCCATTAAATCACAGTGAGTGATACCAGATCTGAGCATTTTCTACACTGGGTAAAGATGATAGACTTTATTTTTAACACATACAATTGGTTTGGCATATTATGTCTGACTCAGAAATTCAGGAGTGAAATAGGATTGCGAATTCTTATCAATGTAATATATATATAAATTCGTTTCATCTGATTGTATTCTATACTCAAATATTTAGTTTGATGTTTTGAATCAAGGTGTTACTATTCACTGATGGGCTTATGTTCCCTAGAATTGTGTAACCTATTATCTTTGTTGGGTTTGATTTATTTTATTTTATTTTGTTTTTGTTTGCTTTATTTATTGTCCCATGTGATAATTTATTTCTTTGTGGGCTATTTCTCAGGAAGGTGGAGTTAAAAGATCAAACTAAACCTACACCACTGATTCTCGATGAGCAAGGTCGCACTGTAGATGCAACAGGCAAGGAGATTGAGCTGACACACCGCATGCCTACTCTGAAGGCCAATATTCGTGCTGTGAAAAGGGAACAATTCAAACAACAGCTAAAAGAAAAGCCATCAGAAGACATGGAGTCTAATACCTTTTTTGACCCCCGAGTCTCAATTGCCCCTTCCCAGCGCCAGAGACGCACTTTTAAATTCCATGACAAGGGCAAATTTGAGAAGATTGCCCAGCGATTACGGACAAAGGTACCTGGTTTAGAATATAACCTAGAACTTCAAGAAGTTAGGAAGGGGACAAAGGAAATTTAATACAGTCCTAAAATACTATCAACCCAGTTCTCTAAGTTTTAGGCAATTAGATACACAAGTAATAAAGCAATGACTAATTTTTAAAATACTTCATTTATTCCTGGAATACTTGATTTTTAGCTGATTTGTCTTCTTGATTACATTCTGCTTAGGTGGAAATAAAACTGAGTTTGAAAACTCACATACAAACAGTGGAAGGAAACAATTCAGAACACTGAGTAACTGAGGAAAGCTAGCCTGGTATTAACATTTACTGCAGATAAATTAACTCCACACGTGGAGAGTTAAGAATTGACTATATATTCAGTGAGTTTTGCTCTTGTTTTCATTCTCTAAGAATGGTGTTTTCATAAAATTCCATTTCTGTATATTTGCTGTAGGCACACAGTGGGGTGAAGGGTGGTGATGAGAGTAGTTGTATGTAAATCAACTAAGGATAAAATAAAGTTGAAGGTTCTTCTGAGCTTTCAGAAATTATGAATTCTTTGCATTAGGCATAAAGAGTTCCAACAAGAGAGTGCTTTAAAATTTGGGGTTCTATCATGTCCCTGTTTTCTGTGGTTCCACTTTATCTTCATGTCTTGGTTTATTTTCTCTTCAGGCTCAACTGGAGAAGCTGCAGGCAGAAATCTCACAGGCAGCTCGAAAAACAGGCATCCATACTTCAACGAGGCTGGCCCTCATTGCTCCTAAAAAAGAGCTAAAGGAAGGAGATATCCCTGAAATTGAGTGGTGGGACTCTTACATCATCCCCAATGGCTTTGACCTGTGAGTTTGTTAGTTAATACCTTTTAATAAGGCTAGAGTTTTACTGGGAGAGTACTCATGCATTAAGTAAAATTTTTAAATCCTGGGAAAATAGGTAACCATACACAGACCATGTATTTGTGAAGAATATGTTGTATAGGTTTTTTTTTTTAGTTTTTGGGGTTAACGTAGGAAGGAACAGGCACAAATAATCTAAAAGAGAAAGGATGTAAATTTTTTTTTTTTTTTAAAGATTTTATTTATTTTTATTTGAGAGAGAGAGAATGCGAGAGAGCAAGTACATGAGAGGGGGGAGGGTCAGAGGGAGAAGCAGACTCCCTGCCGAACAGGGAGCCCGATGTGGGACTCGATCCAGGGACTCCAGGATCATGACCTGAGCTGAAGGCAGTCGCTTAACCAACTGAGCCACCCAGGCGCCCCGAAAGGATGTAAATTTTATATTTGCTTTGGCTATACATAATTATTTGTTTTCTTAATTACATTTTTCTGCTACTTACAATAGGTTTTTATATTTCTTAAAGATCCAGTCTTAGAGGGGTGCCTGGGTGGCTCAGTCATTAAGGGTCCTGCGATCAAGCCCTGAATCGGGCTCCCTGCTTGGCAGGCAACATGCTTCTCCCTCTCCCTCTCCCACTCCCCCTGCTTGTGTTCCTGCTCTCACTGTCTCTCTCTCTCTGTCAAATAAATAAATAAAATCTTTAAAAAAAAAAAAAAATCCAGTCCTAGAATAGAGGAAGGATTCTTAATTGATGGGGGAGAGAATGGTAAATAAAACATTTAAGAAACATTTGGAGAGCTTTAATTATATCTGCTCTTAATTCTGAGATTAAGAGCTTTACGAGACTTTGTCACAGCGTTTCCCCTTACCCTTCCTCTGTCAGCCACTGTCCCAGGGAGCTATTGTTATTAGTGAGAGAATGTGACAACCATCAGGGATGTTAGGGTAGGGAAAAGGTTGAGAATGACTGGTGTAGAGAGTATGTCCAACCTTAGGGGAAGCCAGTTTTCTCATCTTGAAAATTATGTGTAATATATTTACATGTTGTAGATAAACACTAAAAAGTGCTAGAACACATCATGGAGAGTGCATTTTTTCATTGTGTTTCTGAGACTCCCTCTCTCGGAATTGTCTCTACCCACATATCCTGTTTTCCCTTCTTCCTCCAATTTTAGTACAGAGGAAAATCCCAAGAGAGAAGATTATTTTGGAATCACAAATCTTGTTGAACATCCAGCCCAACTCAACCCTCCAGGTAAAGTATAAATTACTCAGTTAAGGCTCTAGAGAAGTATTATCCAATGGAACGTCATGTGATATGAACATGTTCTCCCACCTGTGCTGACCATACAGTACCTACTATCCACTTGTGACTATTGAGCATTTGAAAACTGAGTTGCACTAATACAACTGAAAGACGAAATTTTAAACTATATTCAATTTTAATTAATTTCAATTTAAATAATGTATGTGTGGGGCACCTGGGTGACTCAGTTGGTTAACATCTGACTCTTGATTTCAGCTCAGGTCATGATCTCAGGGTTGTGGGATCGAGCCCTGTGTCAGGCTCTGTGCTGGGTGTGGAGCCTGCTGCTTAAGATTCTCTCTCTCCCTCTGTTACTCCTCCTCGTATGCATGCACGCACTCTCTCTTTATAAATAAATAAATCTTTAAAAATAGACAGATAGAGGGGCGCCTGGGTGGCTCAGTCATTAAGCGTCTGCCTTCGGCTCAGGTCCTGATCCCAGCATCCTGGGATCGAGCCCTGCATTGGGCTCTCTGCTCGGTGGGAAGCCTGCTTCTCCCTCTCCCACTCCCCCTGCTTGTGTTCCCTCTCTCGCTGTGTCACTCTCTGTCAAATAAATAAAATCTTTAAAAAAAATCAGAGAGATAGGTAGATAGATAGTGTATGTATGTGGCTATTGGCTACAGTATTGGACAGTGCAGCTCTAGAGCATTGAGGCCTACTCCAGAGATGGTTTCACTGATGTATATAACAAGTTAGGTTTTAAAAATCATTCTTGGGATGCCTGAGTGGCTCAGTCGGTTAAGTGTCTGACTCTTGATCTCAGCTCAGGTCCTGATCTCAGAGTTGTGAGGTTAAGCCCCACGTTGGGCTCCACGCTGGGCATGGAACCTACTTAAAAAAAATTAAAAAAATAAAAAGCATTCTTATCTTTGACTCCCAACTCCATCTTATACACCATTACTAAATACCTGTCCTTCTTCAGTCTTCTTTGTCTTTTGTAGCAAAAGCCTGTTGGCTCACTCAGAAGAGATAGGTTTTAGTTGTGGCTGTGTTTTTAACTAGCTGAATCCCTTGGGTAAATAACTTAGAACACAGAACTTTCTCACATGTAGAGATAATATTAACTGTTACGTCTTCTTCAAGAGTTACGCAGATCATAAAAGATTTTAACACTTTCATCAGATTTGGGATGAACAGAGGAGATAATACCTCAATTAGTAAATTTGGAAAAATAGATTGAGACTTCGACGTCATACAGTGTATGATAATCATTGAATATTACTTAATCAGAGTCTACTTAGATGTCATCAGTGTGGATCGTTAGAACATAAGGGATTTTGTTTGTTTTAAAAAGTTGAGAGGCACCTCGGTGGCTCAGTTGAGCATCTGACTCTTGGCTTCGCCTCAGGTCATGATCTCAGGGTCGTCAGATCGAGGAGCACCACATCAGGCTCCACACTCAGCGGGGAGTCTGCATGAGATTCCCCTTCCCTCTCTCCACCCCCCACTTGCGTGTGTGCACACTCTTTCTATAAAAAAAATAATCTTCAAAAACTAATGAGAAGTTGAGGGGGTGCCTGGCTGGCTCATGTCAGAAGCGCTTGTGAGTCTTGATCTCAGGGTCATGAGTTTGAGCCCTACCTTGGATGTGGACATTGCTTAAATAAATAACCTTTAAAAATAATAATAAGTAAAATTAAATAAAAAGTTGAGTAAACCTGCTTTGGGAGTCTAGAGGATTTTCCCCAATCCCTATAACTCTAAAATTATAAATTTCATCATCTTAGCCCCACCTACCCCAAATCCTCATACCTTGCAACTGGAGCAGCTCTCATTTTGTTCTCTGTATTTGCCACTTTTCAGTTGATTAAAGGGTTCAACTGCTTCAAGAAAAAACAAGTTAGAACACTCCCATGAAAAATAAGAATGCTTTTTTAAAAATGTAACATACTACCATTATCACAACCTAAAAATAATAACAGGGCTCCTGGGTGGCTCAGTCGGTTAAGCATCTGGCTTTGGCTCGGGTCATGATCCACACCCCACATTAAAAGAAACTTTAATTGTTATTTTTTTTTTTTAAGATTTTATTTATTTATTTATTTGAGAGAGAAAGAGAGAGCATACAAGCGGGGGCAGGGGCAGAGGGAGAGGGAGAAGCAGGCTCCCCACTGAGCAGGGAGCCCCATGTGAGACACTTGGGTGGCTCAGTCGGTTAAGCGTCTGCCTTCGGCTCAGGTCATGATCCCGGGGTCCTGGGATCGAGTCCCACATTGGGCTCCTTGCTGAGCGGGGAGTCTGCTTTTCCCTCTGCCTGTCGCTTCCCCCTGGTTGTGCTCTCTCTCTCTCTCTCACAAATAAATAAATAAAACCTTAAAAAAAATAAAAATAAAGTTTCTTTTAATGTGATTGATATTCACCTACATTCCTCTAATAGGCTTATTGCTTTTGTACTTTCATTTCTCTACCTGGCAGTTGACAATGACACACCAGTTACTCTGGGGGTATATCTTACCAAGAAGGAACAGAAGAAACTTCGAAGGCAAACAAGGAGGGAAGCACAGAAGGAACTACAAGAGAAAGTCAGGCTCGGCCTGATGCCTCCTCCAGAACCCAAAGGTACATATCTTAGAGGCAGGGAAGAAAGGGTGGTATGTTTGTTTATCTCTGTAATTCTAGAGGAACTTTCACCTCTTCCTATATTTGTGTGCTTTCCGTTTCTCTGAATCATTCCTTGATTCTTTTCTTCCTTTCCTAAATTTCTACAATCTTATTAAGACAGGTCAACATATTCACTGTAGAGGTCATTTAAGGCTTATTTTTAAGTATAAAAATATATAACATTGTGATCTTTCTGGAAAAATAATGGTCTTGAAATTCATGAAGATAGTAGCTGCAGTGTGTGCATGAAGTTGTTTTGTACATAATTATTAATATTTGAAAAATGAAAATACTGTTAAAAGAAACCTTCACTCTGTAGTTCCCATTATCGTTCAGTAATATTTTGAGTGAGCACTGTTATATGTAGGACCTTTAACTAAATGCTGTGATCAGAGTGAAAAATACCAAAGAAATTAAGTTCCTTATCTTTCATAAATTTTCAAGCAGTGTAAGTAAATGTATACCAACTATTTAGATTGTGTGTCCTTCCACAAATGCTGGGCTTTTCAAGATAGAGGTTTCTGGAGGAAATGAGCTTTGAGCAGAGATTTGAAATAGGTAAACAGCATGAATTGAGAAGACGTGACAGGTTATCCTAGCTGAAGAATTATTGTTTTCTATCCTCTCTCCACGTGCAGTGAGAATTTCAAATTTGATGCGAGTATTAGGAACAGAAGCTGTTCAAGACCCCACGAAGGTAGAAGCCCATGTCAGAGCTCAGATGGCAAAAAGACAGAAGTAAGTGCCATGGGATTGGGTGGAAACCCAGGGCAAGTACCTTTCCCAGACTCTTCTGGGGGGATCCATATTTGGAGGGAGGGGAGAGTCCTCTGTTGCTCTCTCTTTCCCTCAGCTTTGCCTCTGATCTTCAATGCCTTTCTCACTTGTGGATGTCCTTCCTGTCACGACAGAGCGCATGAAGAGGCCAACGCTGCCCGAAAACTTACAGCAGAACAGAGAAAGGTCAAGAAAATTAAAAAGCTTAAAGAAGACATTTCACAGGGGGTACACATATCTGTATATAGGTAGGTGTCCAATCTGGGCCAGCCTTTGCCTTAGAAATACCAAAAATTTTCCAAGTGCTTGAGGCAGAATCACTGTGGTCTAAAGCACACCTAACATCAGTCCCTACTCTCTTCTGTGACCCCAGCATGAATCAGGAGCTAATAAATCTTTTATAATGAGGGAGGTTTAAAGACCTACTCTTCTATCTCTGAGGCTTTTCAATGAACCAGTACTAGTTCTGAAGAATGAATGAATGAATGAATATACTTGTTGAGACCAATCTGTGAACTAAGGATCATTCATCCTTTGTGAAATATAAAATAACCTATTTCTCCAGGAAGCATTAAAAGTTCCTTTATTCAGAAACTATATTCTTATCCTCACTTTTGCAGTAATCCTTTTATTTCCACTCCAAAGTACATTTTATACATTGTAAATATTCTCTAACCTTCCTGTTGATTTAATATTTTCATTTTATTTTATGTTGAGTGCATGTGTACCTTCCATTTTTTAAAATGTGCTCCTTTTCAATAACTAGCTCTTTATTATGAAAGTGATAAATTATTATAAAAGTAGTGAAAGCTTATTAAATTTTTTTTTTAATCTAATACAACAGAAGGCCCTTACTGAAAAAGTCCCCTTCTTACTCTGATTCCTTAACACCGTAGGTAATTGTGACTAACAGTTTTTTGTGTACCCTTATGGAAATTTTCCATGCATAGCATTCTGACTACTTTACATTATAAGCATCTAGGAGACAAAATTTGTTGATCTTTATACTCAAGAACAATTAGCTTACACATATTTTCGGATGATGGTAAATACCTCACCTTTCTTAGAGTAAATTTTCATTACCTGCTATTTGTTGTAGGGTGTACAATACTCGTCTTTGGAGTATAAGGCAGTGGAATTACTTCGAGACTCATTGATTCTACCTTTCAAGCATTAGCGTATTTGCTTACTTCAAAGGCCTTTGTTTTTAGAGAGAAAACCATTTTGGATCCATCTATTTATTTGCCATTCCATTCAGGCAGCTACTGATGCTAAAACAAAAGCCATAACTAAACTTTCCCTTCTCCAGAGTTCGAAATTTGAGCAACCCAGCCAAGAAGTTCAAGATTGAGGCCAATGCTGGGCAACTGTACCTGACAGGGGTGGTGGTACTGCACAAGGATGTCAACGTGGTAGTAGTGGAAGGGGGTGAGTCTGAAAAAACTGAGGGAGACCATCCCCACGCAACCCTAGGCCTTGAAGTGATTAGAATGGTGGGGAGAAAGGAGGCAAAGACAAGACTTTTAGAGCCATACCTGGGTTTAATATCCTGGGCCTCTGTTTCTGTGTTTATTAGAGTAGAAGGACCTAAGATACGGTTCCTGGGATTGTTTCAACTACCACATTAAGGTCTGAGTAACGAATGAGCTCAGAGGTTCTTTCTACTTCATCATCTTCCAAAATTCTGGCAAAATTCTCCTTCTCTGTTTCCAGGCCCCAAGGCCCAGAAGAAATTTAAGCGTCTTATGCTGCATCGGATAAAGTGGGATGAACAGACATCTAACACAAAGGGAGATGGTGAATGGGGGTTAGAGGGAGTTTAGTGGGAGGTGGGGATGGTACTCTGTCCATTCATCTATTCCCTCCCAGTGACGCTTGCTCACACTAGATAATGTTTAGGAATTTTATTTTATTTTAAGATTTTATTTATTTGAGAGAGAGAATGAGATAGAGAGCATGAGAGGGGGGAGGGTCAGAGGGAGAAGCAGACTCCCCGCTGAGCAGGGAGCCCGACGCAGCACTCGATCCCGGGACTCCAGGATCATGACCTGAGCTGAAGGCAGTCGCTTAACCAACTGAGCCACCCAGGCGCCCAGTGTTTAGGAATTTTAGAAAGACCCATGTGGACTATGAACATGGTAGACATTCATACAGTATTTATTATGTGATAATATGTGTGAATGTTAGTTTTTCTTCTGCCTGACCTTTAAGGTCAGGTTTCCCTGACTTAAGTTTTCCCTGTCTGCCTGGTCACTGGTTGTGGGAGTGTATTGAGTTTGTGAAAATTCAGCTATAAATACTTTTTTTTTTTAAGATTTTATTTATTTATTTGACAGAAACAGAGCATAAGCAAGGGGAGCGGCAGGCAGAGGGAGAGACAGCAGCAGGCTCCCCGCTGAGTAGGGAGCCCGATGTGGGGCTTGATCCCAGGACCCTGGGAACATGACCTGAGCTGAAGGCAGACGTTTAACCGACTGAGCCACCCAGGCGCCCCTTAGGACAAGTTTTTATTGTTGATTGCTTGTCTTTTATTTATCTCCTTATTCCCAGTACCTGGGGCAGTTCTTGATATATGTAGGTGCTCAGTAAATGCTGAATTAATTAATAATCTCTACCTGTTCGGAGCTTTCAGTCTAATTTGGGGGAAATAAAAATAAGAGAAGACATTTGACCCTGATACACGGCAAAAGGGGGACAATATTTAAAAGAATTGAGATAGACTTTTGAAAACTCTTTGTTTAGAACCTAAATCTTGGTCTCTAGTCTAAGACTAGAGCAAGATTTAGCTATATTGTCTTTTCCAGATGATGAGGAATCTGATGAGGAAGCTGTGAAGAAAACCAATAAATGTGTACTAGTCTGGGAGGTAGGTAATCTTCTGTTAAACATTGAAGCAGAACTTTAGCTAATTCCTGGTTGTTTATACCATTCTAATGGAGCAGTGGAATGGTAAAACTAAGCAATGGCTGATTCCTTAAGTAATTCATTTTTCTTTTTGGAATTCATTGGTAAACATTTGCCCGCAGATTCTTCCTGATTATATTTTAGTTAAATTGATGAGTATATAGTATATGCCACCTGGGGGAGAGTATGGAAAACTGGTGGCAAGAATACAAATTCTCGACCAAGTCGTTTATTTCACAGTCATGGATATGAGATTTGGAAAAAGGGAAATGAACCATTGTGGGATTTTTTTGGTCTGGATATAATGAAAGAAGTACTAGACTTTAGAATATAAAGTTGGGAGTCTGGGCAGTACCACTCATTAGCTGTTCAACTGGTCAAGACACTTAACATCAATTACTGTTGGTTTATCTACAAAATGTGGGTATTATTTTCCCTTTCTATTCTTTTCTGAGCAGAATTAGATTACTGTGTAATAGTGCTCTGTAAAATGGAGCTTGTTTGTGGTTATACAGTTCCCTCATCCCTGAAATCTTAGCGAACCAGTATTCGTTCTGAAGAATGAATTAATGAATATGCTTATTCAGGCCAAGGTGTGAATTAAGGATTGTTCATTGTTTGTGAAGCATAAAATACCATCCTATTTTTCCAGGAAGCATTAAGAGTTTCTTTCTTAAATAATTATATCCTTATCCTGATGTGTTGCAGTAATCCTTTTATTCCCACTCCAAAATACATTTTTACATTGTAAATATTTTCTACCTTTGTATTGATTGAATGTTTTCATTTTATTCTTTTATGTTGAATACATATATCTTTATTTTTTAAATGTACTTATGTTTAGTAACGTTCTTTATTACAAAATTATTTCAAAAGTGGTAAATGCTTATTAAAATAAATTCTAGTAACACAGAAGAACACTTACTGAAATGGTCCCCTTCTAATTCTCTAATTCTTTAAGATCACTCTTTATAGGCAGTTAATGTTCTTCATGTATCCTTTTTTCTTATCCCAGACTCCTCCAATTTATGCATACAAATTAGATCATAATAACCATTATACACCACCTGCATATTTAAGATCCTAACCCCTTCATCTCTTCCAATTTCTCTTCCATTTATCTCTGAGAGTCCACAGGAATTGTATTTCAGGTTCAGAAACAAGCCAAGTTCTACTCTAGCTTCTTATTGGAATTTGATCCCTGAGAATCTCTTGAGATAGCACTTTATGACTGCCATTGCTGCTGGTGCCTTTGGCAGGATTGTGGTTACACCCAGTACTGTATGTTTTTCTATTGTAGTTCTCTTCGGGTACCCCCCTCACTGCTCCCACTCCCCTCTTTTCCTCACCTTCATACTGTTCTTGGTCAGTGGGCCCCAAAGCCTCCTGCTTGTATACAGGGTCTCACTGAGGGGGAAGGACTCTCTCCTTTAAGGCCTAAATCTAGTCCTTAGAGGCCTGGTGGGTAAGTAGTTCATCCCATCTCACGCTCCATAGTCCTTCCAGACTTGCTCTTTCATCCAGGTATCAGAGCACAGAATTCCTCATCCTCCATTCAGTCAAAATACTGAAACCTTTATGCCTCTAAATTCATGAAGACTCACACAAATACCCAAGAGGGTGGAGGTTAGAATAGCTTTTACCATAAAACCATGCTCAGCTAGGCACATTGCTACACAACTTTTACTAGGTTTTAAAGATTCATTTATCAAAGGGGCACCTGGGTGGTTCAGATGGTTAAGTGTCTGCCTTTGGCTCAGGTCATGATCATGGTCCTGGGATCGAGCCTCGCGTGGGGCTCCCTGCTCAGCAGAGAGTCTGCTTCTCTCTCTCTCCCTCTGCCCCTCCACCCCCCTTGTGCACACACAATGGCCCTGCCTCTCTCTCTCAAATAACATCTTTAAAAATAAATATTTATTTACTTATTTATTTGAGAGAGAGAGAATGTGTGTGCATATGCACATGGGGAGGGGGAGAGGGAGAGAATCTCAAGCAGACTTCCTGCTGAGTCCCAGAGCCTGACTCAGGGCTTGATCTCACAACCCTGAGATCATGACCTGAGCCGAAATCAAGAGTCGGATACTTAACTGATGGAGCCACCCAGGCGCCCTGAAAATGTTATTAGGTTTTAGAAAAGAATGTTCTGATTTAAATTAGAAATTGCAGTGTTTTGGGGCACCTGGCTGGCTCAGTTGGTGGAGCCTACAACTCTTGATCTTGGGGTTGTAGGTTGGAGCCCCACACTGGGTGTAGAGATTACTTTAAAAAATAAAATCTTTAAAAAAAATTGCAGTGTTCTTATTACAGATTTTGTCTCTTTCCCAGGGTACAGCCAAAGACCGGAGCTTTGGGGAGATGAAGTTCAAACAGTGCCCTACAGAGAACATGGCTCGAGAGCACTTCAAAAAGCATGGGGCTGAACACTACTGGGACCTTGCACTGAGTGAATCTGTGTTGGAGTCCACCGACTGAAACTACTGCAAGCCCTTGCCTCTCCCCTCCTGCCCTTGTCTCTTCAGTCCGCTCATTCTACTTCCCAACCCAGTCCCACATGTGTGTGTGATCTCAGAACTGTGCCAAGCTGACATTGGGACAAAGGGAAAACACCTTAGTCCTTTCCCCAGTCAGCCTGGCGCTGCCCTTTATTCCCCTTATGTGCATATGATTAAAGAGTTATTTTTAAAGTTGGTATGATATTTTTCACACACTTACAGGTATTGGAGTTTGGGTCTTCAGGTGATCTTTTCTCCCAACTTCTAGCAATTGCTGTGGAAAAAGAAAATTTTGTCATTGATACCTGTGTATATATAAATGGATGGATGGATGGATGAATGGATGGATATGTATTTTTGATGTCTGTTGGAAATTTCTCATCTTGGAGCAAGAGTGATAAATACTGTTTTCCTGGAGCAGAGTAAAGCAGGAGGTGTTAAGTGGGTAAAAGAGGGTGGAACAAATGAGTGTCCATCTGTTAACCTTCAATAGAGTCACAGGGCAGATTACCTCTGGTCTTGACTGTAGTCTTAACAGGAAGTCATTGCTTCAAACAGGTGCATATATGAGAATGTGTGTTGTGGGTGAAGTGGGCACAGGGAGAGTCCAAGGAGGATGTTATGGGTCAGTTTGTAAAATGGAATAGGATTCAGGAATTTAGCCTATTTCCTCTCTTTACTAATTAAAAAAAAAAAAAAAAACCTTTTTCTAAAAGACAATGCGTAGTTTCTTTTTTCTTTTCCAATGAATCTGACTAGATGTGGTTCTGTTAAAGAATGTAATGTTTCTGGTTTGATTTTAGGAGTATTTAGGTCAGCATAAGTATCCATTGAAGTCCAAAATTCTTACCATATCTACACTTCCATTTCATGTTGCCTGTTGAGGACATACTGGGAATGGATCGAACACAGGAGCCATTAGAGCTCCCATAACTTCCTCTAGTTGGAGTTTACCAGGAAGTGGTGTTGGAAAATGGATACTTGATCAGAAGTTAAAACATTCTTTATTATAAAATTAGCCCTTTTTAAAAAGTTTTATGTGTTTCAGGTCCTAGTTAGAGTTCCAATTTTAAAACAGTATGAGAGAGCTTTAGGATAAAAGAGGTGGAAGGAGACAGGGACTGCTAAAGGCCTTAAGGAAAAACTAGTATGATCTCTTTTTAGAGATAAGTAAAACTATAACCCAGACAGGTGAGGTTAACTAATTATTCCTGGAGCAGGATGAAATCTGAAAAGCTCACCAGGCCTCAGCAATGCACTGGGTACTTGCTAGTAATCATCTCTGTATCTGTGAGATGGGAGCCAGAGAATTAAACTTGTTTTTGATATTTCTTGATTTAAGCAAATCCAGGGGAAAAATTTATTGTCCTAGAAATAAGTGCTTTTGCTCATATTAAAGGATTTATCACAATAACGTGTGTAAATAATTTATATACAACTTCAAAAGAGTATTGTTTGCATAAGGCCTAAAAAGAAGTATTTATACTATAATACACAATTGTTCATTGTAAAGTATAGTGAGACTTAACCGGGCCTTGAGCAAGTCTTTAATCTCCCTGTGCCTCACAGTGTTTTTTGTTGTCTTTAAATTTTCATGACCCCATACTGTATTGACCATTGTGTTCCATAAGCATTTCCTCCTTTATCAGAACAAATTTGAGAAGTAGATTTTAGAGATGAAGAATTTGAGGCTTAGAGTAAGTAATTTGCCCCAAGGTTATAGCTAGTAAGTAATGGAGCTTAGTTTCTTTCTTTTTTTTTTTTTTTTTAAGATTCCATTTATCCATTTGACAGAGAGAGACAGCGAGAGAGGGAACACAAGCAGGGGGAGAGGGAGAAGCAGGCCTCCCGCGGAGCAGGGAGCCCGATGCGGGGCTCAATCCCAGGACCCCGGGATCATGATCTGAGCTGAAGGCAGACGCCCAACAACTGAGCCACCCAGGCGCCCCTGGAGCTTAGTTTCAATCCAGGTTTGTTTGACTAGAGCCCAAACTCTTAACCCCTACATATGCTGCTTCAGTTGTGAAATAAGGTGGTAGGGACAGCTGTGTTCTTTCAAATGAATGTTATTCCCAGAGTAGTTCCTATCTTGGGTTGCTGTTCTCACTTAAAATGCATTGTGAACTTCAGCAATTCCTTTCATAATGTTTGAAAATATGTATATTATGTCAGATATGTTAATATCAGTTATTTGTCCTGAAGAGTTCTGGTAAGAATTTTAAAAGTCATTTGGAATTTATGATAGAGAATTAAGTGAGATATCAAGGTAGAAAATAGCTTTCTTGGTTTAAAAGTGGATATAAAGTAACTGGACTATTTTCTCCTCCCTGTATGTAGCTTACCTTGAGGAATTTCCAGAATTATCTTGAAAATGTCAATATCTTCGGAATATAGGTACCCAAGAATTATTTTTGGATAAGACAATTCAGTGGCAACACTGGAATATTTTACAGTTTTCAAGGTTCTTTCACATGTTACTCAGTGCAATATTCCCGGAGGTAAGACAATACAAATAATTTCACTCAGGGCAGAAAATGTTATTACACAAAAGAGGCAATTTAAGATAGCTCTTGAAAGATGGGTAGAATTTTGATAACAGAAGAGGATGTTTTAGGCAGAAAGAACAGAATGAATTACAAATAGAAAATTACAGGATATATTTAAGGAAAGGAACAGTTTGGAGCCCAAGGAACCATGGAGGGGAGGCATTTGAGATTATACTGGGAAGTTAGATTAGAACAGTTGTGGAGAGTCTTAAAAGCCAGGGCTTTTACTTAACAGGTAACAAGGAACACTTTATTTATTTATTTATTTATTTATTTATTTATTTATTTATTTATTTATTTAATTTGACAGAGCACAAGTAGGGAAAGCAGCAGGCAGAGGGGGAGGGAGAAACAGGCTCCCCACTGACCAGGGAGCCCGACTTAGGGCTCCATCCCAGGACGCTGGCATCATGACCTGAGCCAAAAAGGCACCCGGAGGGACAATTTTTTATTTGTTTTGATTGGAGGGGAATTAAGATGTTCATCTGGTAATGGTGTATAAGTTGAAGAGATAGACTGAGAAGCTGATGGTGATGCTGCTGCTATCATAGTTTATTAGGATGGTAATGATAACCATTAGCAGGTAGAGGGCAAAGGGAAACGAAAAGGAATTCATGCAAGAGATTTCTAGGTAAAAGTCTATAGGATTTGATAACTAGATGGAAGAGGTGGAAACAAAGATAACTAGAATATCCAACTTGAATATGTCTGAATGCAGGTGATAAAATTTAATCTTTAGGAGAGGATAGGGAGAAAGATCACAAAAGGGCTAAAAATGGAGCTGGCAAATAGGGTGAGAAGCCATTAGTCTGATTAAGGATTGTACATTTAACAGAAGCAAAAGGAAATAAGTTTTAAGAAAAGTTTAAGTGTAAAAATAGCTGACATCATCATTAAACCTTTTCTGACTCAGGCACTCCCCTAAGCACTACATTCATTAACTCATTTAAAAATTGTAGCACCATGGAGGTTAAGAAATTTACCTAAAATTGCTGCTGGTAAGTGGCAGAGCCTGAATTTCAGCAGTCTGGTTCTAGAGGTCTTGCTCTTAGCCATTACACTATCTAACAGAAAAATGGAAGGTGAAGCCTGTAGATAATAAACTGGAATTGGCAGATTAGTAGTGCCTTTTAAGTGGGTGTCTCCTCAGCACCTACTACAGTGCCCACCTATTTCACTGAGAAAAGGAGCAGGTGAAGATAATTTCTGCACATTCTCACCAACAAATCTACCAATTTACCTGAATCTCTTACCTACGTTTCCATTTAAAAAAAGGAACTATGGACCTATTCCTTGATCCTATCCTCTCCCATCTATTCAAGGAAATCAATCCAGCAATTGTCCCATCTCTATCCTATATCAATATTTAACCCCCAATTTTTCATTTGCATCAGCTACATTTCCCATCTTAGAAAGAGGACTGATTCCTCGATTTTACATTTCCCTCCAGCTTCCGTTCCATTTCTCTGCTCCCTTCCTTCCTTCCTTCCTTTTTTTTTCAGGTTTTTTTTTTTTTTTAAGTAGGCTCCATACCCAGTGTGGGGTTTGAATTCATAATCCTGAGATCAAGTCACACATTCACCAAATGAGTGAGCCAGGCTCCCCTCATTTTATTTCTTGGAAGAGTTGTCTATATATGATATCTCCACTTCTGTTCTCTCTAGAACCCTCTCCAATCACTTCACTTCCTGGAAACAGTCCTTGTCAAGACCACCAATGATCACCACGTTGCCAAATCCAGTGGTTATCTCAGTCCTCACCCAACCTACACAGCAACATCTGACAATTGATTGGTCCTTCCTTCTTGAAAAATTTTCATTACTTTTTTTTTTTTTTTAAGATTTGATTTATTTGTCAGAGAGAGGGAGAGAGCTAGAGAGAGAGATCACAAGCATGGGGAGTGGCAGGCAGGGAGAAGCAGGCTCCCCACTGAGCAAGGAGCCTGATGCGGGACTCAATACCAGGATCCTGAGATCACTACCTGAGCCGAAGGCAGATGCTTAACTGACTGAGCCACCCAGGCATCCCTTCATTACTTCTTTCAGAATAGTATTCTCTGGGTTCTTCTTTCAGTGGTCATCCCTTTTTAATCTCTTTTGCAACTTGCTCTTTATGTCTTAGTCCTTGGACCTCTTTTCTATCTACACCCACTCATTTCCTAGGGAACCTTATCCATTTCATGGCTTTACTCCTGATAATTCTTTTTTTTTTTTTAATACTGACAATTCTTTAAAGTTTTATTTATTTATTTATTTATTAAAGAT